AACGCATGGGTTGCCTTGTCGGAGATTTTAACAAACATTCTGAACGACGCAAATCTTGAAAAAACGTGCTTGATCATCGACGCGCTCGATGAGTGCACTATAGACTTGCCAGAGCTACTAGACTTTATCGCTCGGAACTCTTCGAAGTCGCCACGCGTCAAATGGATCGTCTCGAGCCGTAATCAGCCAGATATTGAGGAAGGGCTAGAGAAGCCTAGCCAAGAAGGGAAGCTGAGTCTTGAGCTCAACGCAAAGTGGGTCTCGCAGGCCGTCGACACCTTCATCAGTCATAAGGTTACCCAGCTGGCACGAAATAAAGGATACGACCGGGAGACTACACAAGCCGTCCGGGAACATCTAAAAAAAAATGCGAACGACACCTTTCTTTGGGTGGCATTGGTATGTCAAGAACTCGGAACGGTTCCGGCATGGAAAGCCAACAACGTGGTTGGAAGCTTTCCAAGGGGGCTCGACGATCTATACGCACAAATGATGCGGCAGATCAATGCCTCGGATGACGTTTTCATCTACAAGCAGATATTAGCTTCGGTCGCGATCGTGTATCGACCAGTCACGATTAAAGAGTTAACTTCTCTCGTAACGCAGCTTCAAGGCCCAGCTAGGTATCCGGGTGCACTGCAGGATATCCTTAGCTCCTGCGGATCATTCCTTACTGTGCGAGAAGAAACTGTTTACTTTGTGCACCAATCGGCGAAAGATTTTCTACTGACGAAACCATCTCCTGAGACACCCAACGGAGCATTCGATGAGCTATTCCCCTCTGGGAAACCTAAAGCCCATCACTCGATTTTTTCTAGGTCCCTCGATGTCATGTCCGGAACATTACGCCGAGACATGTACGATCTGAAAGAGTTAGGGTATCCTGCGGAGCAGATTAGACAGCCTAATCCAGACCCGTTAGCAGCGTCGCGCTACGCGTGTTTTTACTGGATCGATCACCTCATCGATTCTGACCTCAACGTTTTATCTGAACATGCAACAACTCTCCAGGACGGAGGCTCTGTTGATACATTTCTAACGCAGAAGTATCTCTACTGGCTGGAAAGTCTTAGCCTTTTCAAGGACATGTCCAAGGGAATTGATTCTATAACGAAGCTGGAGAAGCTGGTCCAGGTATCTTCCAAACAGGTCATGCACTTACATACATAAGAAGCTAATACGCATTAGAAAACGTCAAATTCAGTTAAGCTTAGTAAGCTTATCCAAGACGCTCGGCGGTTCATCATGTATCACAAGGGAGTAATTGAGCAAAGTCCGCTTCAGGCATATGCGTCTGCACTCCTATTCAGCCCAGAAGGTAGCATAATCAGACGCCTTTTCAAGGAAGAAGAGCCGAGGTGGGCAACAATAAAACCGGCCGTTGGCAATGTATGGAGTGCTTGCCTGCAGACGCTCGAGGGCCATAGCG